TTGGACGCTGACCGCATTAGCAACTATGTTTTCAAGATCACGGAGCATATGAAGCTTGTATTTGGACTTGACGTAATCCTTATTTGCAGTGTACATACGAGCGACTAGTCCACCAAGTGGGGTTATACCATTACGTTCACCGATTCCTAATACAGAAGTATCTATATGTGTCGCTCCGGCCTCAAGGGCTACCCATTTCGTAAATTATAAAAGTGGATAATATAAGAAATACGAAATATTAATCGCAATCGAATAATAGGGTAACGTTAATTACCAGCATATGCATTGGCAATAGCGCATCCAGTGTCATTATGAAAATGACATTCAATATCGCAGGAGACAACACCACGAAGTGTTCGAACTAACTCATAAACTTGTCGAGGATTGGCGCAACCAACCGTATCAGCAATGCCAACTCGATTAACTCCCAATTCGTCAGCTTTACGATAAATACTTAACAAATCAACCAGATCGCTCCTAAATGAATCTTCTGAGGAAAATCGAACCTCAATGCCCTTGGACTTAACAAACTGTATGACTTCAGTGGCTGCATTAACAATATAATCCATGTCCTTTCCGTGTGAAAATTCCCGTAGGTATGATGAAGTTCCTATTACGACATCAACACCATCAACACCTTTAATCGAAGATTGTGCAAAATCAAAGATCGTTAAAAATGGTTTAAAATATTCATATGACCAAATCCTTTCAACTACAAGACAAATTTAGTGGCACGTGAAAGTAGACCTCATACCAGTTTCAACTGCTATTCTAGCATCATCCATATGACATCTTATGTGAGTCAGGATCTTTGCCTTCAATCCTAACTTACAAATTTCAATACAGTCTTGTTTAGATTGTTCGGAAGCAGCGGGAGAAGTAAGCTCAATATATTCAACTCCAAAATCATCTAGCGCTTTGGCAATTTCAATTTTTTTTGCAGTATCGAAAAAAGCATTAGCAAATTGTTCCCCCTCTGTAATATGTGTAGAATAAAAATTTAAGGATGCATTCTGCAAACTAGACAAACTGTTATCAGAATATTTCTTGTGAAACTAACCTCTTAGAGTTGACTCGATTATTGAAAAATTACTAACTCGGCTTAATAAGTCGGCATATCGCGGAGTATATGGGTTATGTTGATTAGGACGCGGATTATTAGGTGTGTTCCCATTTATTCCATTCTCGTGCGTGTATCCGTGCGAATTCATCTTGCGATTTGTTTCCCGCGATGATAAGATTCCAAAATTTTTTGAAGAGCTTTTATTTACACTCTAAGGATGGGAATCAGGTTATTTATCTCGCATTCTATAAACATTTTCATTGTTGTGATACTATTATCAAACGATTGCAACGTCAGATAATCTAAATTTTTTTTTTTTTGGGATTGATAATAAATGACTCATTGTCATACAAGTGGGGGTACTCATCTATTTCCTATTATAGATGAATACTTTCATTAAACAATACACGTATATTTGTAATAGTGTAGTCTTTCAAAATAAGTTAAAATTAAAAATTAAAAAAAATTTTTTTTATAAAAATGTAATATAGGTGATACCACTAATAATTAACAATAGAAATAGACAATGAGTGTCACTTTTTAACCTCAATATTTATTAAAAACTATTATTATATACGTATTATAATAATTTATTTATTTATAAATAATTATTTATTAAACTAGGAAACAGAAATCGTTAGAATTTAAAGTTTTATTTTAATTTTTTAAATTATTATTATTTTTATTTTATACAATATTTTATTTATTTTTATATAGAAATTGTTAAATATTTAAAAAAATATAAAAATATGTAATTGTTTTTTTTTATTTATTATTTTTCTTTAAGTTTTATATTTTGTTTCAAACAATTATTTATTATTTTTTTATAATTAATAAGAATTTATAAAGTTTATTTAATTTTAATATAAAATATTTAATATTTTAATTATTT